TCAAGTTGACACCCAGGATTAGCCATCACAAGTCCACCCCTTGTCAACTTGACACACAATAGCATCTCTCTATGTCATGCTTAATTTTCAAATGTAAACAATGTTGAGGTCATAATTTCACCTAACATGATATGACTATCCCATCATACAATGACCAATGCATTATATATCTTAGAGTAGGTGATAAGGTCTTCAAGGAATGCTTAGTCTTTTAGTGTCTCATAACCCAATATAATCATGTGATCATATAGGTTCACAACACTTAACACATCTCAATTACACATTCAAAAAAGAATAACTCAAGTATCTGCTTAACATATGTGTAACATGCACAAGTCTATTCTTAACCAAATAGGACAAAAATACTCATGTCAATTACAGTCCACGTTTCTGCAACTGGTCACGTGGCCTAAGTTGGTATTTGTAACTACCTTTCTCTACAACCCATTCTGTATTTCCTCCACCATCAGCAAGCACCTCTGCAGGTCTTGGCTCTTTCCCTGGAGGAGTGACACATACTTTCATCCCTGAAGGGTCTGGGCCATTTGTTGTCCTGTCTGGATTGGGTTGTTGCAGTTTCCCATTGACCTTAATCACAGGACATGGTAACACCAAAAGTCACCCTAAGGAATCTCCTGCCTTCCACATATAACCTTCATTACCTCCCATTGTGGAGAACTTCCCCCTGGTAGTCTGGGTCAATCATCCCTCCTAATACTGTTATTCCTTTCTTAGCCTGCTGACTTAAGGGAGTCAGAAGCCCAAAGTGTCCAGGGGGAAGTCTTAGCTTCCACTTAAATGGAATGGTTGTTGTCTCTCCTGGCAGAAGCACTCCCTCCTCTGGAACCAAAACATCCAAGCCAGTAGAGTGCAAAGTCGAGGGTACAGGAAGCAAAAATTTTCGTAAAGGGTCACCAGGGGTGATAGTGAGTGGAATCATTCCCACTTCCACCCCTTGATTCCTGGACCCGTGAATCCTGACTATAGGAGAAACTACCATATAGTGGATGCTGATTCAAAGCATACACTGCCTTCTGGAGGACCCTGCCCCAACCCTCCAGGCTATTGCCACCTAATTGGCACTGTAACTGTGTCTTTAAGAGACCATTCCATCGTTCTATCAAGCCAGCTGCTTCAGGATGGTGG